TCCTTCCTTCCTTCCTTCCTTCCTCCCTCCCTCCCTCCCTCCCTCCCTTCCTTCCTTCCTTCCCTTTCTCTTTCTTCCCCTCCCCTCCCCTCCTCTCCCCTCCTCTCCTTTTTTGAGATGGGAGTCTGGCTCTGTCGCCCAGGCTGGAGTGCAGTGGCCGGATCTCAGCTCACCGCAAGCTCCGCCTCCCAGGTTTACACCATTCTCCTGCCTCAGCCTCCCAAGTAGCTGGGACTACAGGTGCCCGCCACCTCGCCCAGCTAGTTTTTTGTATTTTTTAGTAGGGATGGGATTTCACCGTCTTAGCCAGGATGGTCTCGATCTCCTGACCTCGTGATCCACCCATCTCGGCCTCCCAAAGTGCTGGGATTACAGGCTTGAGCCACCGCGCCCTTCCTTCCTTCCTTGTCTTCCTTCCTTCCTTCCTTCCTTCCTTCCTTCCTTCCTTCCTTCCTTCCTTCCTTCCTTTCCTTTCTTTCCTTTCTTTCCTTTCTTTCTCTCTTTCTTTCTCTCTCTCTTTCTCTCTCCTCTCCTCTCCTCTCCTTTCCTTTTTGAGATGGAATCTCACTCTGTTGCCCAGGCTGGAGTGCAATGGTACCATATTGGCCCACTGCAAACTCCGCCTCCTGAGTTCAAGTGATTCCCCTGCCTCAGGCTCCCAAGTAGCTGGGATTACAGGTGTGCGCCACCACCCCTGGCTAATTTTTTTTTTTGTATTTTTAATAGAGACGGGATTTTGCCACGTTGGCCAGGCTGGGCTTGAACTCCTGACCTCAAGTGATCCTCCTACCTTGGCCTCCCAAAATGCTTGGATTACAGGTGGGAGCCTCTGAGCCCGGCAATAAATCCTTTCTCTGGAGGTTGGAGTCCAGGTCCAGAGATGATAATCCACCTGTCCCAGCTCACATGGCGAGTGGGCGTGGGCGCGGAGCAGGCCCATCTGTCCACTCAGGGGCACCTCGATTTCCTTTTGATCATAATCTAGCAGTTAGTTTACACGGCGGCTTTGGGGATTAAGCAATTCCCTCTGAAAAGCAAGTTATCTCAGGGCGTGGAATAAAGCCCATAAGAAATGTCACTATGATTGCCATTGCTGTAGCTGTTGCTATTGTTATTTGGGCAGATACAATTTAAAAACAAACCACCTCCCAGCTCTGGCTCTGGTGTTTTGACTTCTTTTTCCCCCCAGTAACCATGTTTCAAATCACAGTAAAGCAGAAAAAGGGATGTCTGGGAGAGTTAAAAACAGGTCAAGGTGACCCACGAATGTGCTGAATGAGCTTGGGGTTCCCCTATGGGATGATGACAATGTCCTGGGGCCGGGCGCGGTGGCTCAAGCCTGTAATCCCAGCACTTTGGGAGGCCGAGGCGGGCGGATCACGAGGTCAGGAGATCAAGACCATCCTGGCTAACACGGTGAAACCCCATCTCTACTAAAAATACAAAAAATTAGCCGGGCGCGGTGGCGGGCGCCTGTAGTCCCAGCTACTCAGGAGGCTGAGGCGGGAGAATGGCGTGAACCCGGGAGGCGGAGCTTGCAGTGAGCCGAGATGGCGCCACTGCACTCCAGCCTGGGCGACAGAGCGAGACTCCGTCTCAAAAAAAAAAAAAAAAAAAGAAAATGTCCTGGAATTGGATAGTAGTGAGGGTTGCTCAACAGTGTGAATGCACTAAATGCCACTGAATTGTAACTTTGAGTGGTTAAAATAGCAACTTTTATGTTATGTGTATCTTACTGCAAGTAAAAATAATTAAGTAACTAGGCAGGGCGAGGTGGTTCCCACCTGTAATCCCAGCATTTTGGGAGGCTGAGGCGGGAGGATCCCATGAGTCCAGGAGTTCAAGACCAGCCTGGGCAACATATCAAGACCCCGTTTCTACAAATAATAACAAACAAAATTAGCCGGGTGCTGGCCGATCATGGTGGCTCACACCTGTAATCCCAACACTTTTTGAGGCCAAGGCAGGAGAATCACCTGAGGTCAGGAGTTTGAGACCAGCATGACCAACATGGTAAAACCCATCTCTACTAAAAATACAAAAATTAGCCAGGCGTGGTAGCGGGCGCCTGTAATCCCAGCTATTTGGGAGACTGAACCATGAGAATTGCTTGAACCCAGGAGGTGGAGGTTGCAGTGAGCTGACAGCGCCATTGCACTCCAGCCTGGGCGACAGAACGAGACTGTCTCAAAGAAAAAAATAAATGTGGTACTGAAAAAAAAAAAAAGGTGAAGTAAGTATTTAGAACCTTTTACAGCAGCCTTTTTTTTTTTTTTTAATTTTTTAATTTTTTGAGACGAAGTCTCGCTCTGTCGCCCAGGTTGGAGTGCAGTGGCCCGATCTCGGCTCACTGCAAGCTCTGCCTCCCGAGTTCACGCCATTCTCCTGCCTCAGCCTCCAGAGTAGCTGGGACTACAGGTGCCCACCACCACGCCTGGCTAATTTTTTGTATTTTTAGTAGAGACAGGGTTTCACCACGTTAGCCAGGATGGTCTCGATCGCCTGACCTTGGATCAGGCTGATCCGCCCGCCTCAGCCTCCCAAAGTGCTGGAATTACAGGGGTGAGCCACCATGCCCAGCCCTTATAGCAGTCTTGCAGAGTAATTATTACATTGGTTGAATTTAATAACAAAAAAGTCGGCTGGGCACGGTGGCTCATGCCTGTAATCCCCACACTTTGGGAGGTCAAAGTGGGTGGATCACCTGAGGTTAGGCATTCGAGACCAGCCGGGCCAACATGGTGAAGCCCCATCTGTACTAAAAATACAAAAATTAGCTGGGTGTGGTGGCGCATGCCTGTAGTCCCAGCTAGTCAGGAGGCTGAGACACGAGAATTTCTTGAACCTGGGAGGCGGAGGTTACAGTGAGCCGAGATGGTCACTCCAGTCTGGGCCACAGAGCAGGACTCTGTCTCAAAAAAAAAAAAAAGAAAAATCCACTTGTTAAAAACAAAACACAACAGGTTGACAAACATGATTGGGACCTGTCTTTGTCACCAAGACTGGCCAAACCTTGGCCAACCCTCCTGCCCCCAACAGAGGATGGTGAGGAAGGGATGGGGGGTTCTGGAGAAGGGCATTGAAGGGTGCTCACCTCCTCTCTCTGTGTCACCCCTGAAGGTGGGTCAGTTCTGCCCATCTGACCTCTGAGGTCTCACTATATACCGGGCAGAGCTGAGCGTTGGAACCACAGCATCCTTGCTTGTGGTGGGTGCTGCTCTCATTTCCATTTTTCAGATGAGCATTAAAGGAAGGTGAGGATGCAATGTAGAAGCTGTGGTTCTGCAGGCTCTTACCCCCCCCCAGGGCCTGACATATCACTGTTTACTGCAGACCCCCTCCCCTCACCCCACCTCTGACCTGGATGTCTACATTAACAGGCCAAAGGTTTTCAGACAATGCCCCCCATCTACCCTTTGCCCCTCAGGGGTGATTTGGAAACTCCTCCTAGCTGGGATCTTGGCCCCTGACTGCCCAAGTTCATCCTCTCTGCCAGCTGCCCGAGTCCTGTCCGTAGAGCTCTATGTGGCAGTCACTGCCAGCTTTGGACAGCTCCCAGGGCTCAGGCACCACCTGGAGGCTCCAGGCCAGCCCCGCACTCCCACTCCCCTGCAGGCCTTGGCTGAGGCCGCATCAGATGACTGTGGTTTCCCTGAAGAGGCCATGACATTTTGGGTGTCCGCATCTTTGCTTATTGAGCTCACTCTTCCTGGAACCGGTTTTTTTTTTTTTTTTTTTTTTTTGAGACGGAGTCTCGCTCTGTTGCCCAGGCTGGAGTGCAGTGGCCGGATCTCAGCTCACTGCAAGCTCCGCCTCCCAGGTTTACGCCATTCTCCTGCCTCAGCCTCCCCAGTAGCTGGGACTACAGGCGCCCGCCACCTCGCCCGGCTAGTTTTTCGTATTTTTTTAGTAGAGACGGGGTTTCACCGGGTTAGCCAGGAAGGGCTGGAACCGTTTTTTCCCTTTTCCATCCGTCAAAGACACCCTTGTTCTTCAAATTCTTTCTTACGTTTTTCTTCCTTGAAGACACAACCACTCCTCCCTCGAAGGCCCTCAGCACTTTTTCGGCTGCACGATGGCACTGGCTGCAGC